GAGAAGAATAACATTGAAATTCAAACTCGTCAAAATACGAAGATTCAGCTGAGATCAATATTGAATTTGTAATTAAAAAGGTACTGTTACAATGGAGTAACAATTATAGAGCGCGTGACTATGAGGCGCATGGGTTTACAGGTGGCAGGTCTGCTGGTGGAAAAAAAGCAGCCACCACAAATCCCGTCAGAATTACACACATTCTTCAAGAAAGTAAACAATTGGCAAGGTGCCAGGGAATTTTTGTATTGCATCAAATGCTGCACTGCATAGCAACCCGGTATCACTCAACGCATAGATTTCCGACAGTTGATTGTGTTTTGATTTGATATTCCGAACTCAAGTATTTCTGAACAAAAAGTGAAAATGCGCGAACTAGCACTCCCAGAAACTTCGAAGCGCCAAAACGGAAACTTCTGGAAATCACTATTTTTATGAGCTTCGCCAAAGACGGTGCTTTAGTGTTGTATTTAGGCGGCGCAGAAGCTTCTTATCATTCTGAAATATTAATGAAGAACTTTTGAAGGAAAACGGCCAACTCAAAGGACGGCTGCTTTATCAAAGACGAGCCGCCCGCGATTGTTGTAAACGGAGCACTATTTGCAAGCGGAGCACGCCAGTCGCAGCTATGATGGATTGGATGGATTCTGAATTGCTTTTGGTGGATTCTGAATTGCTTTTGGTAAACGAAAGTAGGAATCTCGTTTTGCCAGATTTTTGGCTAGTGTCCACCGCATTCTTTTGGATGACGACTCCCGAGAGATAGGGAGAGGCCAGGCATCACACTACTCTTCTGCCCCCTCCACGCCGAGATGATACCCCGCATTTGTAGTTGGCTCCAGCGAGGGTTTGTTAATATGACTCTAGCACCGTCGTCGGGTGTTATTCCAGTAAGGTGAGGCACTTAACCTGAAGTGCGAAGAAGCAATTGTAAACCAGTTGGATGAGGATTTTTGCCTATGCCTAAGAGGTCCAGATGGATTGGATGCTGTACAGACCTTGAAAGCTTCCTCCCGTTACTCTAATAGATCCTCTTGTTTCAAACACCATTTTGGGAGAAGGGAGCAGCCTGCCGCCTGGTGAACCCTTCGTCCCACTCTCCCAAATACGTAGCACCTTCTACTGCTGCCATTTTAGTTATTGTTGGTAACTATGAACAGAAGTGCTCGCACGCGTGAAGAGAAAGCCTTGGAGCTCTTGCGTCTGCATTTGAGAGCTTCAGTGCTAAATGGTTTTTAGATCGCTCTGAGCTCGTGATAAGCGCTGATATTGGTGTCTGCGCTATCTTCCTGCAAAACAAAATCCCTCGGTTGCATTGCCATAGCTGCTATTTTTTGTCCGGAATGTCACCCTTCGGCAGACCAGATTTTTGAGGCCGAAAACTCGTAGCAACTTCTGTTCAGGTGTAGTTCAGAAGATCCGATGTGTCGCGACGATCTAGCTAGTTGGCTCGACATGGATATTGGCGTCAACTGAAGTTTCGAAGATCACAGAATGAATCAGCATCTAGTCACTTGTTGAGCAGCGTCGCCATCCTTATACGTATAAGCACTGTCTCGTGGTTCACGCATGTATAATGTGTTTGCGCAATGTTGAAGGGCGGAAAAGCGGCTGTGCTTCCTTTGTCGAATCATTCTATAAAGTTCTCAGGCACCCCATACTTTGCGACATGGTCACTCTGCACGCGGGCGAATCGCGAAGTATGATTACTAGCTGAGGCATGCCTGCTGCATCCGCTGCTTTTGGTTTGGGTTACGTGACAACTAACACTTTTAGTAAGGGTCCTGCTGCAGAAGGCCGGAGCGCTGAGAAATAAAGAACTGCTGCTGCCAAGGCATCGAAAGGAAGAAAAAAAAACATGCCGCTGAGTCAGAAGATGATCTTTTTTTCGAGGGGAGAGGACACCGAGTAGATGGCCACTTCTTAAGCGTGAATCGTTGGAGTGTGAAAGGTTAGAGGGGTCACAGAACGCCATGCAGACGTGAAAGCGCAGAGAAAAAGGGGAACTTAGCGCCAATAAAGGGATCGAGTCTTACCATTAGTCGTCCGTGGACCTTTGGTTAGCTGCTGGACAATTGTATGGCTGTCTTGACATATACTTGTTTCTAGGTCGGTCACGCCTAGCTATCGCAGAACCCTCGTTTGAGTGGAGTAGCTGCTTTTCATTATTCTTCTTTCGGATTCCTTGCCGTAGATCATCGCCAACCTTATCGCTGTTTGTTACACCCTGGCCTCAGGCGTCTGCGAACACAGGGGACTTCTGTCAACGTCAGCCATTTCCATCGTTGGCCTTTTATTCGAGATTTTACATTCAGATATTCATCAATCAGCCTCCCTTCCCAGGTACTGGAATCTTCTCCACTTCGATGCTATCATGCGGCGATTATAGTAGGATTCTGTAAAGCAGCAAGTTTGTGTGTCGGTTTGTCGGTATGTATGCAGGTCCGTTTGCAAAATGCTTCATGGTTTCGAACACGTTAGTGGGAGGAGAATATGGCCGCTAGACAAACCAGAAACTGATGTATTGATGTGTTGCAGATGTATCAATCCAATGTATTGATTGTAGCAGCCTCCGCTATATAAGACAACCATTCGGTACACTCCGAGCCATTGCACGAGCTGCTGGCGTGGCAGCTGGACGTGTGCTCGTGCGGGGGCAGGAGTGGGATTGAGAGGGGAGTGTCAAGTGACCCCTCCCTCTGCTCCCTTCTCCTGCACGCCAGACCTAAGCACTTGCAGAGGGGAGGCAGGAGAAAGAGGTTTGGTGAAAGTGCACGGTGGGCGGCGGGGTGGGGGGAGGGGTGGGGAGGGAGCGCATAGCGCACACTTGACCAGGAGCACGCAGCAAGAGAAGAGGATGCAACCGCTAGCAAAACTTCGAGCTGATCCATAATAAAATAACAAACTGAGATGTTGATTTGATTGTGATAATACCCTCAACTGTATGGGGAAAACCATTGAGTACACTCTGAGCACAAGCCGCTGGCGTGGCAGCTGACGTGAGATCGTGAGGGGCAGGGTGGGGTGAAGGGGGAGGGAATAGCATGTAACCTCTGTAGGCCTGCTTCCCACCCCTGTACGTGCTTAGCCGGACCTGAGTACATGCAGGTGAGGGAGACCGAGGGACAGAGGTTAAGTGAGGAGGGTGAGTTGCTCCATTTACGATTTAATCAAAACAGCGCAGTATGAGCAGTTAAGTATTAGGTTGGCTAATA